AGTTATAATATAGTTATTATAATATAGTTATTATAATAATATGGTTATTATCGGTCGGCGAACGAGGGCGGACGATAACTATAATATTATAATAATAGTTATTATATTATAGTTATAATATAGTTAATATAATAATATGGTTATTATAAAAGTTATTATAATAGAGTTGCTATAATATTATGGTTATTATAATATTAGTTATTATAATAATATAAATATTATCGGTCGTGGACGCGCGCGGCCGATGATCCAAATTGGATCGTCAGCCGCACGTGTCCGCTGACGCAATGAAAAGCTCGACACCGACCCGCCCATCAAGCACGTTATTTTGGCCCTGCCTGAATTAGAGCCCCGGTCTAGAAATGACAGCTCTAATTTACGCAGGTTTTTCCTCCGTCATGGCTCTACCTGTTTCTAATTCTGAAATGCAGCCGTCCAGTTGACTCAGCATCTCGTCGGCCTTTGAGATGGTTCCTCTCAGTTTCTGCTGCTCCTCCTGATGAAAACAAACATGTCTCAGAGTAAAAAAAAAACCACTCCAGGGTTAAAAGGCAGCGTCTCGTGTGAAGGCTCTTACCAGATTAACCCGCACGAGCTCGGAGTAGAGCACCTCCTTTGTTTCATGCGACTGCGATCTGCTGCTTTTTCTGAAGAAGTTGTTTCTCTCTTTCAGTTTAGCTCGAAAACGTTGGAGCTGTGAACCAAAGCGGCAAAGATTCAGAGTCGTCCTGTTATTCGCACGCAGCGCACGGTTAAAGCCTAAAGGAGGCAAACGGTTTCTTCCAAATAGTCAACAATGAACAGACTTGTTTGTTTGATACCACTTCACCTTATAGATGGTTAATAAATGGTTTATAAATACATTATTAAGTCCTCTATAAACACTTTGTAAATCATTAATAACTGCTTATTATGCATTAATTAAGGGTGACAGAGACAAAACTGACCAACTTCTTACCAAATAGTGATCCAAATCTGTTCATATATTTATCTAGAGTTGTTATATTAAACATTTCAGACTAAGTTACTGCCTTGTAAACACAATAAAAATTGGTAAACCTATTTCTATAGCATATAATATTGTACTTTATCATCGCATTATAAGCATCTACAAACCTAGTAAACTAGTAAAAAAAAATTGTAACTATATTTACAAATGCTTATTGTGCTAACAAGGTAGTAATTTAGTCTGAAATGTTTAAAATAACTCTAGATGAAATTTATAGGTGAACAGATTTGGTAAGAAACTGGTCAGTTTTGTCTCTTGTCACCCTTAATTAACGCATAATAAGCAGCTATTAATGATTTATAAAGTGTTTATAGAGGAATTAAATTCAGTTCAATTCAGTTTATTTATATAGCGCCAAATCACAACAAAGTTGTCTCAGAGCACTTTACAGTAATTAATATATCTATAAACTATTTATTAGCCATCAATAAGGGGAGCTTTATTGTAAAGTGGTACTGTTTTTTTTAATTATAGGAACAATGATTAGTTGCATTATATAAAAAAAAGCTCATCTAACATTAAAAGTATGTCACAAATATAAAAGATGCAATCATAGAAAAGAAAGTCTTCCCACACACCTCTTCTTCTGAGAAGTGTCTCATTTCTTCCCACAAACGTTGGTTTACGACCCTGAGAGGTTTGTTTAAATCCTGCAGCCGAACATTCAACCTGACGGTAAAAAAATATATAAAAAAATAGTTTGAAACTTTGAATGTGCTCCCAATTTGACTAAACCGATAAGGGACCTTGTAAACGCCTTCAGTCTGTGGTAGTAAATAAAAAAAAACAATCTAATTAAGAAACTTCTCACATGGAAACAAACTTAAATGTTTAGATAAATCTGCAGAGTGCTGTATTTTTATTATAAAGTATAAAATGTATGTACTCTTCCACTTTTGCCGTCAGGGTCTGGATGTCTGCCTTGTAGACCGCCTGTTTAGGACGATTAATGTGTCTGCTTCTTAACAAGTCCAGGGGCGTGACGTCTGTGTCAGATGAAAGCTACGAAGACAAAATGGAAGTGAGCGCAGATGTTTTTTATTTTATACAAAGTTTAGTCCAAAGAAGAGGAACCTACTCTGCCAGGAAGGACACTCTGCCGAGGATTGTGGGTAACGAAGTCGATGTTAAACAGACTGAAGAACTCTAAAACGGTTATTGTGCCGTCTTTGAGTTTCTGTAATAAAACAGAAAAATGAACGCAATGAGAGATGCATACAACACAAGACAAATAAATACTTTTTTTTTTTATACGTCTAAATAAGAAAACGTACTTTCTGTTCATCGCTGCCGTAATCTTCAAGCTGGGATTCAAACATGCTGGGCTTAAAATCTGGTTTAAAGAAATAAAATTAAACAAAAAGTTAGAAAATGTAAAAAGCAGACAAATAACGGGGAAGATTTTAAAGCCAAACGTCTCACTTGACTCGGACGCAGCTTCATATCGGCTGCTGTTGGAGGAGGAGTCGGTCTGTGTGGTCGTGTGAGCGGCAGCCACCTTAGCATCACTTTCCACAGCGGGCTGGAACTCCTGGACAAACATGTCGGTAAACGGTAAACAGCGGTGTACTCATCATGTAGCAGCCTTGCTAGCCAACCAGGCTACTCATAACGCTTCAGATCACATTCAGAGGTCACGGGAGGCCAGGGACCGTTTGACGTGACTGCATACAGGGGGAACCAAACAGACGACTCGCTCTTTAGTGGACAACTGCTCTAACCACTGAGCCACAGCCATCCGCTAAAATAAAAGCTCCTCAAAAGATTATCGTGCATTATCGTCTACAATAACATCTGTAAAATAGCAAAAGCTGTCCCAGTGATTTGATCAAATTACACTTTGAAATTAGATTTGATTATAATTTGATGCGTGTTAAAAGTTTAGTTTAAAAAAGAACGGATTATGTTCTTTAGATCAGTGGTTCTCAAACTGGGGTTACAAGCACGTAGCTGTTTAACCACCTGTTAAAATGCACCAAAATGCAAGAAATCACATGGGCTTTATTCAAATGTTTTGTTTTGATACTGTTCATTTTCGCAAAACTGTAATTTTTGGAAGCTGAAGTTAAAAATTTTGTCAATTGTGTTCCTGCTCTCGGGACATCATTACCTGCAGCGTTCCCTCAGTGAGGACTGAACTTGGCAGAAGGGCCTTCTCCTACTCCGCTCCTGGAATATCTTGCAAAAAGATCTGAAGCTCTCGACCTTGATTGACCTCTCTAAGTGGCTTCAAACATCTGCCAAGTTCATGGGAAAAACCAGCGCAGACATGTTGCTGTTTTTAGTTTCCTACATCGCCTTACAACCTAGATGTTTTTGTTTCGTTTTTCATACCATTTTATTTCACTTGTTATTCTCAATTTATATGCTTCATCATCGTTGTTGTCATCACTCTTTGTTAAAATCTTGTAAATGAGTCCTCGAAGCTCAATGAGATTAAACCGTTTAAATAAAAGTTGAATGAAAAATACCCCATGTTTAAAAGTATAAAAATTGTATTAACTCTTCAGGTCTTCAGTATTTATATTACACAAATATTTCCGTTACATTGAAGCGACAAATGGAAGGAAATTATTTAATAAACACGAGGGTTATGAGGGGGTCCCTGAAACCTTTTCTCCCCTGTAAGGGGGTCCTGAACCCAAAAACTTTGAGAACCCAGATCACTCGTCGTTTCGTGGAAATGTAAAAGTTGTGGCAGAAAATGATTGTAGATGAAAACTTTTGTAGCAACTAACAGAATAACGGTTCGACTTCACGTTAACTGGGATTAAACGGTGAAACAAAACGTACTATTGATGATTTAGAATAACACAAAAGTCGACTAAATCCAATCTTTAGGGATTTTTAAATACAATTAAAAGTGTTGAAACCCGACTCACCGTTTCAAGTTCGGCGCACGTTTTCAGTCTCTTCTCATCCTCGTCGTCGCCTTCTGTCCGAGGCCTTTTTCGGCTGTGCAAAGGTGAAACGTACGGTTCTTTAAATAAGTCCTCCTCTGCAGGGTCAAAGCCGTGGAACGCCTCGGAGGGACGCTGGTTTTCTGTGGTTTTCTCAGGAGTCCTGGTGTCCACGGTTTCAGACATGTCTTCGCAGCTCACCAGCTCTTCGTTGAAAACGTACTCGACGTCGCTGTCAAAGTCTCTCAGACGACCGGTAATGTTGTCGGCGAAAGTCCGTGTAGCTTCTTCAGCAGAAGCGGACTTCTTTGACTCACCGGGGTTGTTTCTCTGGGGGAGTTTTGGCTTAAAGCCCCCCACTGAGAGCCTTGACATAAGCTGTTGCGTCTTCAAGCTGAAAGGAGTTGCGTTTGCTGCAGTGGAGGGGTTTTCTGCTCGACTTTGAGCACATGTGTTGTCATCAGCCCTCGACAAACTTGTGTTGAGCTCTGGCTGTACTTCAGGTAAAGATGTGGTTCCATCACTGGAGTTTGTCTCCAGGTCGGGGTCCAGCTGGGGCGGAGGGGCTGCGCTGCCGTCAACAGTATATGGAGCCGCCTTTATGTTGTCGCTCAAACGCCTGAGTTTCGACTGGAGATCAGCGAAGCTCCTTTGTCTAGATGTCTTTGAACCTAACGCAGCGGCGTCTTGACCTGCATCCGAGGCGCCGGCCTTCTGAGACGAAGGAAAGGTTTCTGTTCTTGGCTGCTGTGCTGTCATGGTCTCCATTTTGTTTGAGTCTACATCATCAGGAGTGTGCAAGCCCCGGACTTCAGTGTTCAGTGAAGTCGACTCAGTTTTCTTCAAATGGTCAGAACTGTTGTCTTGTGTCCACGAAACCTTAATTTGTGAATGATCCGTGGATGCTGGCCGCAGAGCGCCTGACCGAGGCTCCGTTACGTCCACGCTGGCACCGATTTCTGCGCAGACAGTCGCGGTTTCATTTGCTGGCTGTTCCACACTTGAAACGAGGCTTGGGGTCTCGTCTTCAGCGCTCGTCTCAGGTTTCGGTGTTTTACGCTGAAAACATCTTGAATCAGCGGTCACTTGAGGCAATGGTGCATCGGTTGCTTCTGCTTCAAAATTAACTGAAGAGTCACCTTTCTGAAATCCTTGTTCTAACTGTGATGAGGATGAATCGGAGCGATCTGGCTTCCTCACAGCGGTGGGACAACCCACGTTTTCATAGGCAGGTGGGACGTTTTGGTCCATTAGAAGCAGGTCTGAGCCTGGATCGTTGGCGATATTTACAGTGAGGCAGCGAGTCATTTCCATCGACGCATCACTTGTGGTGAACCTCACCGTTTTATCTCCAGAGGGAGGATGAAACGCCACATTTTGAGACTTGGGTTCAAAACTGGCAGACATGTTGACTGCGTCACGTCTTGGACCCGCAGACGCTTTATTTGCAGTGTCCCTCGCAGTCTCTGCGTTACCAGGACACGAGTCCACGCTCGGGTCTGGCTCGGGTTCAAAATAATTAACGTTTGTCGTGTGGCTTCCCGTCACATCCACTGGTGCATCGTTTAAAGCAAACCTTGTTGCTTTCTCTCTGTTAGGTGGAAACCCCATATTTTGATGAGAGGGAACGTTTAAATCAGCAGCCATGTTTTTAGCAGGTGGCTGGCTCACGTTTGGGCCAGTAGAAATATTTACTGTGTCTCTTCGTGTTATAACCATTCCTGCATTGCTTGCAGTAAACCTCGTCTCTTCATTAGCGGGACGTAAATCTATACTTCGATGAGAGGGAACGTTTAAATCAGCAGCTATGTTCACGGTGTGACTTCTGGTCACGTCCATATCAGCGTCGTTTGTCGTGAACCTCACGGTTTTCTCCCCATAAGCCGGGACCCGACTCACATTCTGGAGCGACGGCTGGTTTAAATCAGCAGCTATATTTATGGTGTGACTTCTGGTCACGTCCATATCAGCGTCGTTTGTCGTGAATCTCATGGTTTTCTCCCCGTTAGCCAGAAGCTGGCTCACATTTGGGTCCGGCACCATGTTCAGGCCAGCAGAAATCTTCACGGTGTGACTTCTGGTCACGTCCATATCAGCGTCGTTTGTCGT